AGAATTCACGCCCCCCCTCCCCTTTCATATGTACCATTTTGTAGTTCAATGCTACTTTACTTGTACTTCCCAAATCTCGAATAAGCAGTAGTATGCTTTCTTCTGCAGATATCGTCAGTGTCACCCCGTTACTCTCTATCATCCTCTCAACCACCACATCCTAACTTGCCAAGTGTAATTAGTAGCAAAACCGCAGATGTTGTCATCGATTTAGTCAATACCTTCGAATCACGATACGCCGATGACTATGAAAGCTTAATTGGAGATGCCTTACTAATTCATAACAGTGTTTCTGCTACCGACTCCTCAGCTTCAGAAGTAGAACTCGACGTCAAACTTCTTTCTGTGAGTTCCATCTAAGTCGATTTCATTGGTTGAGCCTTCTTAAATGCGTTTCAGTAGCTGGTTATTCTGACCGATGTTGTTTCTCACCCCTCTCTCTCCCACCCCACTTCAGGGACCCTATCCCACAGACTACTCCTCCCTTCGGTTAAGGTACTTCAAAATCCTCGAGGGCCTCTTTGTATCTCAAATCAATTGGGGAAGAATTGTGGCGATGATAAGCTTCCTCCGTGCCCTCTGTGTCGTGTTAGATACAACACCTGGCTCACAAGTATGCACAATTATTAGCCCCTTATGGTTTCCCTCTTCTAGTCATCATTATCATCTGTGGATGATAGTATTTCTATGAGTCCAAAGGTAGCCAACTTGCAGTTAGCAATCCTTCATTACCTAATTTGGACGACGGAATTCATTCACAAGCAACCTAAGCTTTGGGATTGGATAAAAGATCATGGAGGATGGGTAAGCGTTTCCTTATGAGTGGACACTTATCCTAAATCTGCTTGTTTAACTATTGTTACTCAGGAGGGATTGGAGAAATTTTATTATGGTGAGAAGTCTACACTCCACTCTCAATTGCTTCTCGGCCTTGCTCTTATACTTGCACCAGTCGGATTCGTCAGTGCAATACGTTTTGTTTTTCGTCAACTTTGGCCGCGTACGTTTGAATAAATGCTTGCCTTCGTTTTATATTTTATCCCTTCTGCTACTACTACTATACTGCAATGTTAAGCGTACTTTAAGGAGACATAGTAATTTATTTACGTCTAGCTAAGGTAGTGATGTGTCTCTGAGTCCATTTCTTTTATCTCGTCTATTTTAGGATAGACTCCCCCCCCTCCCCCGCAACTCTCCTTTTATCTTGAATTGTACTGAGAAATTGTAAAATGATGCGGGCATTCGCCCCTGGGAATCAGCATCTCAAAAAATTTCAACTTGTTTGCCATGTTCAAATCAAATTCTGAGTAAATTTCGATTTCAGTTTATATTTCTATTTCTCGTTCTCTCAGTAATGCTCGTATTGAGAAATTTACTTACTGGCAAATTCGGATCTTTGATAAAGTCTTCCGCTCAAATGGATTAAAGTTAGACTGCACGAAAACCAGTCTGTTGTTAGTTTCCAAGACCTCTATCCACGCAACTTGATGGAAGGCGCCCTGTCCATTGACGGGAAACTCGCGTTCCTCTTTTTAATTTGCCCAATGCCTCCCCCCCCCCCTCCCTAATCTAGGTTTCCAACGCTCATCTTGAGTGGAGTAAAAGCAATGTTTAACCTAGTTCATTCAACTCGATTTTTTTGCAGCTGAGGCTTTGCTCATAGTGTTCGGAGTCTATTGAGCGTTTGACTTCATTTTTATGCCCGACCAAGCTCCCGAAGTTATTACGGTATTGTATATTTTTCTTTTTTAGGTTGAATAGCGGACGAAGCCAACTTACCCATCGCCATGCATACATCTAATCTGAACTGATCACAAAACTGTTTTCTTCTTAAAATGGTCAATTCCTGCAGTTATACAACTTTAACGTAGGCTTATATACATATTTTTTGTTTCAATAACCAACTTTCCCATTTCTTCCTGTTATTCTGGGGGGGGGGATATTAATAGCAAGTTATTAATTGACTCGATTCTACAGCAGTTATGGAGCGGGTATTATTCTATTAGCATGGGAAACAATGAGGCCATAAAGTATTTTATTGTTACAAAAACAGGAAAGGAGGTCCTAAAACACAGCAGAAATAGAGAGAACGATGCAAAATGGTAGTAGCATCGACGTGAGAGGGTGTAGAAGCGCTGACGGGAGTTTCAATTATTCCTGTGCTTTACGTCTGGTGACCAGTTGACGTAGGAGCCGGTTTCCAGTGACAAAAGTGAATACACCCAAGTAGAATAGATATTTCAGAGTGACGAACATGTTCAGTTGACACCAGTAAACCAAATAGAGGGCAAAGATAGCTGAAATGAGTGAATAGTTACGTGTGAATGGGCGGTTGCAGTATATTGAGATGGTAAAATGAGATTGCATACCTCCGAGACCGAGATGGAAGAGAAGACCGGAGAGGGTGCAAGGCATATTCGATAAATTAGCACCCATGATAGGCCACTAGGAGGGGAAAAGGACGTTAGGATAGTGGGATTTCAGACCGTCTTCATCATCTCATTCTGATTTAATGCATAGGCTTAATGACGTAAGTGGAAATACTATGTGTGCAGATTATGACCAGAGCACGGAGTTCAATGCTTCTTTGTATTAGACACTTTTAGAGAACGAAATAGCTACTGGAATTCGGAAAAGTCATTTTATTAGGCAGATTGATTTTACGAATTTTAATTGAAGATTAAAATTAAACTTTACATAATTGGACTAGCATAACGAGAGCCACTTTTAGCGCACATTCGAAAAAAGATAATCTGGAAATTTACCGAACAACACTACCGATTTCCCCCTCACCGAATACAAAATCATGAACTCAACCGTGTAAATTCGATCCAAGTTTGGATTTTGGGTCTTATCAAGGACTCTGCAAGCAAAACCTAACAAAAGGCAAGTTAATTTTCACCTATTTAAATAGGAGCAAGACTATATCAATGAAGAAATAACAATCCATAATGATTGTGACGAATTCGATTTGGACGACGAATGAAATTCATATCTAAAGAAAAAGTCCAGGAATAGTGGAACAGAGAATCTGATGATATGAATCCCGTAATCAACAATTTTCACAATCCGCATAACACCTAGTCCATAGTAAATGAGCTTCTTAAAAATAAACCCGATCTAGAGTAGATAATATTAATAAAGAAAACTTACAACAAAGATAAGAATGACAAGTGGAGCACAGCAGAGACCAGTGAATGTATAAGCCAGTAGATTTGAAGGGCGCGGTTCTGGAGTACGGAAAGTGTGCTCGAGTAGAGGTTTATTGGATCTTGGAGCTTCGCCAATCAACGGATGGACAGAACGTTTGCGAGCCGCCTGAGAAGCAACTGTGAGACGAGCGACATCTTCAGAATCATATGCCGCAGATTTGGAGAGGTCTCCATGCGCTGGAAACTGAAGATCCAGGTCAGCCTAAAGCAAAAAAGCATTTAGAAAGCGGTGGCACTAGCTCATGCCGAAGACACCAACAATTGAGCCCATTTTCATTAACCCTTTTAACTACGTAAGCTGCAGATGTAGTGAATAAATTTGACCTCTCGCTTTCTGTCAACCCCAACACCTATTACAACACTTCCATCTCCTAATCTTTGATGCGAACGAGTCGCTGGAGTGAGGAATAGTTCTTACAAGATACGACAGAAAGATTACTTTCGTATGACAATCGTGATAAAGCTGAATGATTCGATCTTGTGTAAATTACCACTCGATGCTAGTCGAAATTCAATGGGAAATTGAACATATGACCTCTGATGTTGCAGGTGTGCATTCTGACGCATTTAGAAACCCACAATCCTACTTTCTCTCCATTGCTAAACTGGTTCAACGGTTCTCCAGGCTTACTTGACGTACCCCTTTAATCCAGTTTAACTGAAGTTTATATGATTATGATTAAAGATCCATATTGGTATGCGTCAGGGTGGCCACTTTTTACTTTATGGCCACATTCTTTACCTCGAAAGTTCAATGTGTTAGTTATGCAAACCAGTTTCGAAAATTGATGATTATATTAGCATAGTAGCTAAAAATCTAAATTCGATTTCGCAGATCCGATCTCAGTAACACAGATTCACATATCCAGACATTGCCTTCTACTAGTTAGACTTTTGATTTGAAGCTAAAGAGCCCAAATTGCGGGCTATGTCAATACCTCCGGAAAAACAGAAACATGTAGTTAGAAAATAAATTTTAGCGTAACTCACCACATGCCAGACGATAGGTGATTCAATCAGGCTATCCCCAACCAACACCTCCATTCTGTAGAGACCCGATACGTAATCAAAGTCTTGGGCGGCTGATTCAAGACCCTACAAAGAAAAACAGAGACCCAATTTACGGACCAGACACACAGGCACACATGGATAAAAATCGGGTCGAAACTCCACCCAACCTACCAATGTGAAAGCGTGTGTCCCGTCGGTGGTTGAGCGTTTTGTGAGGAAGGTAATGGTTTGCGAGGTCTTGGAATTCGTCAGTTGGATAAAAGCTTGTTGTGGGATGGGAGCTGATAGCGTGGTGGCTGTAACTCCATCTTCCAACACGAAGGTGAATCGGAGACGAGCAGACTGCTGCATGCGGACAAATTCAGCCTTGCCAGGGTAATTCAGGCTATAAAATTACCAATATTGTAATGGCCAATGAAAGAAACTATCATGCAGTGTCAAACATATTGCCCAGTCGCAATGCAGTAAACCTTAAGCACATTCTCAAAATCAAGCGTAAAAGTATTTGAAAATAAACAACACAGACAGCGTTAAAACAAAATATTCACAAGACCATTAAGCGAAGTTTTACTAACACTTGACTTGGGTGGAGAGGGGGTATTCTGGAGCCAAAATTGTGAGAAACTCGTATTTACTAACACTGTCACATCACTTAGTGCATCTATTAACCTTCGACTTGGCAGACGTGTGACTTGACCACTGCGCACACAAATAGCACGCTCAATTTTCCGGTAACTGAGAGAAGACCCACATATGGTTGACCCCCCCCCCCCCCCCCCCTACTTGAGATATCAGAAAGCATGATACAGGAAAAATGATTCAAGTGAACGGTTTCAGTTAAGCGTACAAACCTTAATTACTACAAACATACTCATTCCAAAATTTCAATACCTACTGGGGGGGGGGACATTAAAGATCGGTGCGTTTATAAGCAACAAGAATTTCTTTTAGTTGGTTCTATGGAATAGAGTGAAAAAGGCAATAAAACAGCATGCACCACAAACATGACCAAATGTAGCATATAACACAAGAACATTAGTTTCCAAGTCGGTATAATTAATGCAAAGCAGGAAGTACACCGCCCGGGCATGCGCATATAAGGACTTATAAATCGGCTGTGCAATTAGACACATTCGATTGAACGAATAAAAACAAAAATAATAAATTTGAAGTTTTAGACAATCAGTTATCCGAAATTGATCGGGTGTAGTGGCCCCTATTCATAAATTTGCAAACATAAGCTAAGAAGCAACGACCCAGGAAGCAACTAGAATGTGCAATAACTTCAATCAAAGTTGACTAACAAGACCATCGAATTGGAGAACTCTACCCTGACGTCACTACTACAAACAACCGGAAAACGCGCGTTTCAAAACACACAACATCGCAACATGCGGACTTCGTCGATAGCACAAATGGACAATATTTTGACCACAAACAAGAGTGGCACATAAGGTAAATAAATCAATGAATTCTTACGCGGCGTCAAGGAGAGTTCTTGAGGCATCTTGCACCTTGAGATGAGCCTTATTAACTTTCACTGGCGAGACAACACGAAGGGGAATCTAGTAAAAGGAAACATGACATAAATATCGTTCTAACAACCAAGTCCGGCAAACAGGAGATTTAAAAAAGAGGTTTTGAATGAAATCGAGTTGCCGTGTTTGTGTTCGTATAAGTGGGAATAAACAACTTAATCTTCACATCTGGACCACTATAAACCACATTCTACCTATAAAAATATAGCCTTATGAAATCGTTGGTTAGGAAAAGTTCATAAAACTGACAAGAAAATATCAATTTAGTTTGTTTGTCAAAATAACATGTGGGCTAGTTGCTTATATGAAACGATTCATAAATAGTTAAGGAATGGATTGACATTGACTCAAGTGAACTTTAGGTTAGCCATGTCTTGTACTGACCATGAGTTAGAGGACCGTTAGCGTACTCTATTACTGTAGTCACTCCTTTTTGACCACAATATAACAAATATGAACTGCCAATTATGGCCACAGATTGTGTAACCTAAAGCTCTCAACCCCTAACAGCCATTCAAATGAAAAGATGGACTTAGATGATGGCTCCTTTAACATATCACACCGTTAATGATCAATATCCAGTTTACCATTCAATTCGGTATTTCCCACTCCCACTCATGGCTTTATTTGATTTTCAATTTAGAAATAAGGACGCCTAATATTAACACTATTGATTACCAATGAAAATCTATTAAATTAAAAAATCCAACTAACCATAGCTTTCGAAACTCCAACAAGGTTCATTTCTTTCTGAGTTACAGTCAATTCCAGCCTATAGCGACCACATGGCAAAGTACCAATTTTAGCGAGATCCAACTCAAACATATCCCTAAGTAAGAGATAAAATAAACTAATTTAGTTCGATTAGAGAAAGATTCCAAACAAAAAGAATTCTCAGAAACTTACTTAGAACGTTTGAGCTCACCAGCATGACCAAGAGGCTTTGCGCCTTCGGAAATAGGGATTAAGGAGCCAGCTTGCACTACAACTCCAGCATCCAATTGATTACCGAGGACATCAAAAAATCGAAGCTGTAGACGACGAGATGATGTTATAAGAATACCTGAATCACCAGCACGTTCACTAGCAGTAGCACCGTACACAGCGACAGGGTTCTAGTAAAAGCAAAAAACTTATGCTACTTATATTCATTTCAACAAACATGACATTTAACACAGTGACATGTCTACCATGAAGGAATTGGTTGCTAGGATTTTAAATGCCGATGCAAGACGGGCTGACGTTCTGATATGATGGGCACGACGACGTTCATACAAGAAGTTGTAGAATTTTATAACTTCTTGCTAGAAACACAAAAAATGTTAACTCATATATACAAAACATTACCAAACATTTCAGGGATTAATTTGACTTACTTCAGTCAAAGTGGGAGCCTTTTTGATAGCAGCGGAGAAATGGAAAATGCTTTCAATGGCAAATGCAGTAGTATAAGCTCCTCTTTCGAACTAAGGACAGAAAATGAAAAATTCTTAATTTCAAACATACAAATAGAATGTTGCCATCAGCCTCATCAGCCTGCTCTGTAATTTTCTTAACAAGATGAGAAAAGGCTTCGAGTTCCTGTTCAGTAGCTCCCTTGACTAGAGCTGCAGATGCGAGAATTGAAGATAAACTAGAAGGGCTAGTCTCCCTGGCAGCGAATTTTTTCAGGAGTTTCAGAACTTCCATTTTGTCAATAGGAACATCAGCTAAGCTTGCGCTTGCAACAATGTAATATAAATTGTCAGCGGTCAAGTTTTCACGCTTTAGTGCTTCAATGAGTCGATTTGGTTGAGAAATTTTGGGCTAGATTAAAGCATAATGAGGAAAAAATAACCCTTACAGTGCACGATTTTACCCCCCAAGCAGCAGACAAAGCATAGTACTGCATCTCTAAATCAGGGGAGTCAAAATAGGGCTTGAGGGTATCGCAAGAAACTCCTTCAAGTGACTTAACATCAAACACAGAACCACCAATGTGGGCATAATGAGCCTCCTTTATATTATCCTTCATGAAATTGGAAAAGACATTCTTGAAATGTTGCTTATCTTGAGCGTTCAGAGCACCAGTTGGAAGAGCAAGAGTAGATGAATCCTCTTTCAAAGCAGCAAAAGCTGCGACAGCCACAAAAACAACAAATAACAAGGGCTTGACCATTTCTAAAAACCAATGTATTGAAAAACGTTATATGTACATTTAGGGTGGGAAACAAATTATCATGAACTTATGCAAAAATTGATGGCTTTCTGTATCACGTGCACAGATTATAAACGGCTATGTGAAATGGAAATATTAATTCATTTTGTCAAACAAGATTTAAAAGCACTGCTAAACAACGCTTGAATTTTGCTTTATTACGAACTTCAGATATTAAAGAACATTACTAAAATATATA